TTAGTGTGTTTTATTTGTGGGGGAATTGTATACGTTGGCTGTATCGGTGCAGAAAGAAAGCAAAGGCTGAAAAGAAGGATTGAGAAAGAGGAGGGAGATGGGGAGAGAACACAGACATCACCAACCTCCTGCTTAGACTGGAATGACAGTGATTCTCAGGGTCACCTTCCTGAAGTGGCGGGTCACCCTTCCCCTCTAAAAGGCTGGCCCGGTTTATAAGGGGGTGTGTGCGTGCGTGAGCGTGTGCGTGTGTGTGTGTGTGTGAGCATGTGTATGTGTGTGTGAGTGCGTGTGAGTGTGTGTGTGTGTGTGAGTGTGTGTATGTGTGCACGTGAGCGTGTGTGTGAGTGTCCGTGTGAGTGTGTGAGCGTGCGTGTGTGCCTGTGCATGTGTGTGAGTGCATGCATGTGTGTGTGCCTGTGTGTGTGTGTGTGTGTGTGTGTGTGTGTGTGTGTGTAAGGAAGGATCTACTTAGCAGAGAGCAAATGGAAAGTTTAATGCCTCGTCTGGAGGCCAGAATAGCGTCGGGCGGGGTGAGGTCCATGAAGCTCCTGTCCCCTCCGCAGCTCCTGCCTGGTCTGCAGACAGTGCTGAGAGGTACCGGGAGGGAGCAGAGGGGCTCGCAGTTACTGCCTGTGACGCCCGGTGGGATGGGCGGGAGGCACCGAGGGTGAGCATCTCCAGAACCTGTTAGTGTCCCGTCTGGGAGGGCCGTGACCCCAGCCCGGGAGAGCCAGCTCCTTTATGTCCACCAGCGAGGCCCACTCACCGCGCTCTCCTCTTGCATCCGCAGGCGGAAGTGTGCGCTGGGACCGTGGCGGAGGTGATCCAGTCCGTGGTCAACGGGGCGGACGGCTGCGTGTTCTGCTTTGGCCACGCCAAGCTGGGTGAGTGAGGCTGAGCTCCCCGTCACCCTGCTCCTCCCGCTGCACCGTCCGGTCCTCAGGCGAGAGGAGAGGCTGTCCCCTCGGTGCCGAGTTAATGACCCCAAATGAGCATCTCCTGCTTCCGAGATGAGATTTCCATTCTGAGTGGATCCCCGTCATCTGGGAAAGCCCTCGAGGCGCTGCTCCTGGGTCCCGTCACCCTGCTCCTCCCGCTGCACCGTCCGGTCCTCAGGCGAGAGGAGAGGCTGTCCCCTCGGTGCCGAGTTAATGACCCCAAATGAGCATCTCTGCTTCCGAGATGAGATTTCCATTCTGAGTGGATCCCCGTCATCTGGGAAAGCCCTCGAGTTCAGGAGACGAGCAGGGGAGCAGTGGGTGTTCCCATTGGTCCAGGTCAGGGTCACGCCCAGAAAGCCAGAGGACAACATACCCTCCCTGAGCGAGGGCTGCCGGGAGGGTGGGGGCTGGAGATGGAGCCGTCGTAACAGTCAGAGGAGCAGCTCCTAGCGGAGCCCAGGCCACGGCTGCCCCATCGGTGGTTCTGGCAACCTCGCTTCCCCCCCTCCAGCCCAGCACAGCCCGCCAGGCACCTGGGAGGGAGGCAGCTGAACTCCAAGGTGCCTCCTCCACCCTGACCCGTGGCCGCCTGCCCACAGGCCGTCCCTCAGGCTGGGGGTTAGTAAGAAGTGTCCCTTGGCGGAGATGCCGCCAGAGGCCCTGGTGCTGGAGGGCAGGTCCAGCCTGAGCGGAGAGCCCCTTCCCCGCCCCCCCTTCTCTTCTCCATCTCTGATCAGAGCTGTGACCAGGTTTAATGGGCTTTGCTCACGCTGTAAAGAGACGCACAGCATTGAACCTGCGGGGGGGTGAGTGTGAGGAGGTGGGCGGTGAGATGACGCACAGGAATAGCGAGGAGTCCCTGCCTCCCGCTCTGGGTAAGACAGTGCAGAGCTGGGGGGTGTGGCCTTGGGGTCCTCCTGGAGGTACCTGGTGACTCAGTCTCGTCCCCTGCCAGGGCTCTGCGGTCTTCATTGTAGCCATTTCATCACAAGCGCCAGGAAGTGGCCTCTTGTCATTGTCGCCAATGCTGACTATCTCGTTCACCGTCATCTCCTCTCTCCCTCCCCGCCCGCCTCCGTGCCTTTCGCCTGCCTCCTCGGCATCCACTCCTGAGACTGTAGTGCCGCCTGGACACTCACACGCCATCTCCCCCCCCCCTCCCCCCCAGGCAAGTCCTACACCATGATCGGGAGAGACGACTCCACGCAGAGCCTGGGCATCATCCCGTGCGCCATCGCCTGGCTCTTCAAGCTCATCAACGAGCGCAAGGAGAAGACCGGCGCCCGCTTCTCCGTCCGCATCTCGGCCGTGGAGGTGTGGGGCAAGGAGGAGAAGCTGCGGGACCTGCTGTCCGAGGTGGCCACGGGCAGCCTGCAGGACGGCCAGTCCCCGGGCGTGTACCTGTGCGAGGACCCCATCTGCGGCACGCAGGTGACTGACAGCTCGGGGCTGGGGCTCCGGGGGCTCAGCCCACCTCCGAGGCTGGGGCCGCCCGGGCACGGGAACAGGGCGGCTCACGCGTGTTTACGCCCACGTGGCCTGGACCTTCATGGCCGCCAGATGCGGGCCATCTGCTCGCCCAACCTGAATATTTGTACCTCGGACCTAATTGACAGTGAGCAGGACTCACCACTGTGGTCGCATTTGGAGGAAATTGAATTTACATCCTTTACACCCCTTTCAGGGGGGGAGGGGTGTGCAATCTTTCTTTTGTTTAACAACAAACAGAAATATTTGCTGCTCTGCACCCGTGGCTGCGGCCACGGCGGGGCTGTTTAGGGCTCTGTGCGGCCTTCCTGGCCTGGCTCGCTGCGGGTGAGTCCTGCTGCCGTCACACGCGTGACCGCTGTGCGGTTAGAACCGCGATGTGAGTGCTGGGACCGTGGAGCCAGGGGAAGCTGCTGCGCTCTGTCAGGCTGCGCGCCTGTCCAGTGCTGCTCTCCTGCTGCTCGACGGGAGATGGCACAAGGCTGGGCAGCCTGGCTCACGTCCAGGCACCATTCTCCAGGCTTCAGCAGTCGGCTCTCTTGCCTGGTCCTCCCCGATGCCTCCTTGTTCAGACAGGCGTTCAGGTGAAGGTTAGGATCCCCTTCTCACACCCGACCACGTTCTTCCTCCGGCTCAGGCTTCCATTCCTGTTAGGAGTCCTCCATCCCCAAGCTCTTTGTGACTCACAAGGCCCTACAAGGACCTTCCTAGCGTCATCTCTTACCCTCCTCTCCCGCCGCTCCTAATGAATTACCTAGAAAGCGGTGCCCGCACACTTCAGTGGCCTATGAATCGCTGGGGATCCTGTTACAAATGCAGGCGCTGGTTCAGCAGGTCTGGGTGGTTATGCCTCTCCCACAAGCTTCCCAATAATGCCCACACTTTCAGCAGCAGAGCTCCAAGGCACCGGCGTTGCTCCTTCTGACCCCAGGGCCTTTGCACGCTCTAGTCCTTGTGCATGGAGACTCCTCCTCCCCTCGCTCTTCATCTGGCAAACTCCTCATTCTTCATGTCTCAGCTAGCTTGTCGCTTCTTCCAGGAAGCCTTCCCAGATGCTTCTCCTGTCACTAGAACATGCGTAGCAGTTGTATTGTGATGGCCCGGTGAGTTCTCGGCAACTCCCAGAGGGCGGGCACCATGTCTGACCAGGATTGGCTGCTCATAATTGTAACAGATGCATCCGACGCCATTTGGATGGGGAACCTAATTAGGACGCAAACCAGTTGGTCAGGGAAACTCTAATGCCGTGGTTCTCAAACGTGAGTCTTCATCAGAGCCCCCTGGGGGACCTGTTAACACAGACACCTGGGCTCAGTGGTCCTTGGTCAGAGCTCCAAAGTGTGGGTTTCTAGCGAGTTCCTGGGTGCTGCTGCTGCTGCTGGTCCAGGGACCCACTTTGAGGACCACCCGTCTGTAGCAGAGGACATGCTCAGATGGCACCTACCTGGCACCTACGATGGAGATCAGCTCTCCCTCCTGCCCCCCCCCTCCCCGCTCCTGCTCCAAGAATTACCTACACCATGGGTGGGCAAACTTTTTGACTCGAGGGCCACAATGGCTTCTTAAACTGGACCGGAGGGCCGGAACAAAAGCATGGATGGAGTGTTTGTGTGAACTAATATAAATTCAAAGTAAACATCATTACATAAAAGGGTACGGTCTTTTTTTTTTTAGTTTTATTCATTTCAAACAGGCCGGATCTGGCCCGCAGGCCGTACTTTGCCCACGGCTGATCTAGTCTGTATCTCCAAACTGATGCCCACACTTTCAGCAGCAGAGCTCCAAGGCACCGGCGTTGCTCCTTCTGACCCCAGGGCCTTTGCATGCTCTATTCCTTGTGCACGGAAACTCCACTTCCCCTCCGCTCTTCATCTGGCGAACTCCTCATCCTTCAGGTCTCAGCTAGCTTGTCGCTTCTTCCAGGAAGCCCTCCCAGATGCTTCTCCTGTCACTAGAACACGCGTAGCAGTTGTATTGTGATGGCCCAGTGAGTTCTCGGCAACTCCCAGAGGGCGGGCACCATGTCTGACCAGGATTGGCTGCTCATAGTTGTAACAGATGCATCCGATGCCATTTGGATGGGGAACCTAATTAGGACACAAACCAGTTGGTCGGGGAAACGCTAATGCCGTGGTTCTCAAACGTGAGTCTTCATCAGAACCCGCTGGGGGACCTGTTAACACAGACACCTGGGCTCCGCCTCCAGCCTCCCCCAGTCAGTGGTCCTTGGTCAGAGCTCCAAAGTGTGGGTTTCTAGCGAGTTCCCGGGCGCTGCTGCTGCTGGTCCAGGGACCCACTTTGAGGACCACCCTTCTGTAGCAGAGGACATGCTCAGATGGCACCTACCCGGCACCTACGATGGAGATCAGCCCCCCCCCCCCCCCCCCCCCGGCTGACCTACACCCTCAACTATGCTACAGGGTCCACCCACTTGTGCATTAATGCAGGTCCCTGGAGGTGAAGGTGCAGGTTAACTGAAGGTGAAGAGAGAGAGACCCACATGCTCTTTATGTTCACTCTTCTTGGTGAAAAGTCTTTGGCTTATTTTGTCAAACTGAGTACAAAACAACGAACACAACAGAATCTCTCTTTGAAGTTTGAGGATTTTTATGGTCTCAGATTCCAGATATCAGTCCTCACAGTTCAGAGTGATAGGGATCGCTACAGTCAGAGCAGAACGTTTTCAGAATTTGTACCGACCCTAAAACATCTCCTGCAAATCATTTCTTTGGAAAAATCAGAAATAATGATTTTCCTTTTCTCTCCCCAGAAAGGGCGCCGTTGTTCTGTTGAGGGTTTACTGTGATTGCCAGGGGGTCCCGGGGGCTCAGACACGTTGCCCACGATGCTGTCTTTAGCCCATTAATGAGGATGCCAAGCACATGGATTGAGTGACTACAGATAAAAATAGACTCCCCTTAAATAGCGTAGAGAAGGCATCCAAGTATCCTGGGTGTTTTCATTCGTCTTTGACACTTACGTCTTGCTTATAACCATGCCAGGAAATGTGGAATAGAATTGGCTTTAATTAAACGGCTGAGAAAAACGGAGAGTTGAGCTAAGCTACCCAAGTTCTTCCACTTCTCTGGGGCGCCATGCAGTAAATCACAGAAGTGGAATCACACTTCACAGCCTGCCTGCCTGCAGCCGTCTCACGTGTGAGGTCAGACGCAGGCCCCTCCCCGGGGTTCCCTTAGGTCAGTGGTCGGCAAACTGCGGCTCAGCAAACCGTGGCTCGCAAGCCACATGCGGCTCTTCGGCCCCTTGAATGTGGCTCTTCCACAAAATACCGACTTCTGCGCATGGGCCACGAAGTTTCAATCACACTGTACGTGCGCGCCCGCAGGTGGTATTTGGTGGAAGAGCCACACTCAAGGGGCCAAAGAGCCGCATGTGGCTTGCGAGCCACGGTTTGC